CGAAAAAAAAAAAAAAAAAAAAAAACTGAAGTTTTCACACTGTCCAATACCAACTAATTTGGCTCAGAGAGAACAGTGGTTCTGCTATATAGAGTTCTTTAGCTTTAAAGTAAGCTATTCTTATGTAAATTAGGACTCATATTTAAATAATCATGAATAAATGTCAATAATCTAAAATCCAACAAATCATTTATTCATCAAATATTTTTGAGACCTCTATGTGAGGTAGACAGTAAAAGCTGCATTAAAAAAAACACTTTACAAATATGATTAATTTTTAAGAAGAAAAATCTATCAAAGTCCCACAAATTATTAAATGGTTGGCATAATTCTAAATTCTGTCTTTGCTACTGGAAACAGTGAAAATATAAAGTACACAATTTAAAACAGAAAACAAACAGTTTTGCTAAGAATAAAGGAAGGAACATTCTCCATTTTCCTATTTTGAAGAAAATACAACTGACTCTTCTCCAGCTTATGTACCAGGCACAGCATTTAATCAGTTCTGCAGATCCAACAGTTTGCACCAAATCTCCCCAGTTACAGTCTGTGGGACTCTGGACACAATGAGACATTATCCAGAATGTGTCTGGATGATCTTTATTTTCTGATTATTTATTAACTTGGGGCCTCTGAAAACTTTTTCTGTGAGACACTCAAGTAAGGTCTATGTATGAGTTTTTCAGTGAGTTGTGCATGTTCCATTAGTTTTTAGGTTTTTGTTTTTTTGTTTTTTATTTTTGGTACCAGAGATTGAACTCAGGACTTTGTGCTTGTGAGGCAGGCAGCAGCACCACCGAGCTAAATCCCCAGCCATCCATTTGTATTTTTAAAGAAAACGAAACTTTTAAATGCACCCAACTTGCCTTCTACCCATCATGCAGTACAGAATGGCCCAAGGTCCTCTTCCAAAACTGAGGAACAGGTGGGCCCTGGAGCCATACAGGTAGCTGGGCAGGCATCATATGCACCGTGCATGGAGACGAGGTGCGGACCACACCAAAGGTAGAGGTCATTATAGGTCTGTTTGGGGAGAACACCTTTTGAGGTCACTTGTGGTTCTCTACTCCCTGGTTTCATATGTAAAGAAACAGGCCTAGGCCAGAGGCAGGATGCAGACTATACTCACTCCCGTGTCATGCTGCTTCCTGGCTCTGTGGGAGTGCAAACTCTGGGCTTTTTGTTTGTTTCCGTCAGTTTTTTTATTGTATGTTTTGTTTTGCTTCTTTTTGTTACTGGGGATGAAACTCTGGACCTTGTACTTGCAAGTCAGGCGGCAGCACCACTGAGCTAAATCCCCAGCCTCTCTGTCAGTTCTTGTTTTTTAGTTTTTTTTTTTTTGGTACGGGGGATCAAACTCGGCACCTTGAGCTTGCAAGGCAGGTGTCGGAACCACTGAGCTAAATCCCCGCCTCTGTCAGTTTTGTGAGATGAGGTCTCACTATGTATTGCAGGCTGGCCTTGAACTCTCAGCCATTGCCTGCCTCAGACTACAAAGTACTGGGAGGACAGGTGTATGCCACCACACCCTGCTGGGGTCCTTATTACCAAAAAGAGGCTGAAAAAGATTTAAAGAACAAGCCACACTACCAAACATTTTCAAGAAAATTATGAAAAAAGGTTGACCTTTTTCTCTTTAGTCTAATCATAATGCAAGGCTCACTTCTTGATGGAATTTGTGTGTGGATGTGTAATTTTATCGTTATGTTTTAGGAGATCAAATCACTTTCCACTTGAGGTCTTATGGCTCACAAGTCTTATTCCTAAGTATCAGTATTGTAGGTAAGGCACAGCAGAAACTTGAGCCAAACAGGTGAATAAAATATGGAGTCATTAAAATTTTTAAAAATTCCTTAAGTTTTCACTGTTTCCATATTTGTAACACACTCTATTAACTATTAATCTATATCTGAAGATATCTGAGATTCTGTTCATCAAAATTTAGGTATTTTAAATCCATTATCTGTGACGTCAGCTGGTTACTTCCTAGAAAGACTTCACTAATCTTGCAGAGGCGAATGAGTGTATAGTCCAGTGGTAGCAAGCATATGGCATGCATGCTGCAGAGAGTACCCAGAGCCCTCTTTGTTGGCATATGAGCCAAGTGTCACCCCAGAAGCCAAACACTGGGTAATGGCTGTTTTTCTAAAGAAAACCTCAGTATTCAGGTTTAATTGCAATGGTAGCACTTCGCAATAAATAAGTGGGTTTTGGGTTATAGTCCAGGCACGTGGTATCTAAAAGGTTCACCATCCCTGGTGTATATATTGCCTGTTTCCTTCCTTAAGTCAGTTTCTTTCTCTATGATAATTTTTTTCCAAGGCTATAATTCCAATTAGATTTAGCTATGTGGATATTAGCAATTATTAAGGGAAAAAGAAAAATATTCTTTTAAATTGGAGCTACATGACTTTTTCTGAAATATAAAACAAAGTGTGTGACTTGAAGTAGAGCCTAAATATTTAAAAAATTCAAATATACAAATTTGGGCAAGAAACATGGCTAATTCTGATCTTTGAGGCTTTTTATTGCCAAACTCTTGCTAACTAAGAGTCAATAAACCATAGTCTATGAGCAGGGTCAGGGATGTAGCTCAGTGTCTCTGTGACTCCTTTGCATGTGTTCAATCCTCAGTACCAAAAAAGAAAAAAGCCTATGAGCTAAACAAATATTTTTAGGCTTGAGATGTGGGAAAGACTAAGACATTTTTTTTGCTATATACAGGATGAAAACTGACTTAACAGGAGCTGGTTGGAGCTAGGATAAAACAGGAATTGTTTCCTCTCATTTCTTCTCACTCTTTTTGAATAGTTTCTTTAAAATAGCCCATTTTTCATAATCTCTAACAGTTCAAGGAATTAACCCAACAAACAAAAGCTTTAATTCCAGGAGATAACACCACTGAAACATTTTGCAACCTTGTACATTTACTCTGCTGATGGATTTGTATGCCAAATTCTTAACTAACTTTTTTTAGTGATTTTATTGGTTTGTAGCGGATTGCTGGTTGGTTTTGAGAGGAAGTGGAGAGAGTTTAGAGAGCTCAGAGTTTAGTGTTGAGGAGGATGCAATGATTGACAGTCCTGTTTTCCTGAGACTTGAGAGGAGCTCTCGCTCTGGGCTCCCTCTGCAGCCAAGGGTGGATGGTCTCCACCAGGGTAAGGTAAAGCCTCAAAGGCTGGGCAAAGGAATGCATGAAGTAGGCGACTGTACAGCACCCCCAAAGAGCACTTCATGTCAGACTAAGCACAATCAACATAGTTTTTGCTTGTTCTGTTTTGACTTATTTGTAACAGGTTTTTTTGGTTTATTTTTTGCATATCAGACAAACCTTTTTCATTTGGAAATGGCTATATCTAGAGATTGCTTTATGGTACCTTTTGTTCTTCTGTGAATTCAGAATTATTGTGTTGAGCTTGGGCCTCTTTTTGTAGATGTCTTGCTAATCTGTAAAGAGAAAACATTTTTTAGACTTGAAAGAAAGCAAACTTTCTCAACTGCAACAACATAAAAAAATTTTTTTAAATCTTTTAAAGACGGGGAACCCAGCAATATTTTGTTGTTTTCAAAGTGTAAATCTACATTACCATTAGAATCAAACTTTTTATGCAACCATGATGAAAATAAGAGACAAAACTTTTCATATCAGTTCAGTGGGACAGATTTCAGCTCTAGGTAGTAACAACAGAATCTTAGAGCTGGAGGGAACTCAAAGGGGATCTAATCCAACTTTCTTTAGCAAGCACAACTTTCTTCTACAACTAGCCAGTAAGTAATTGTCCAGATTCTGCTTAAACACTTTCCAAGAGTACTAATAACAGTATCAACTAAAGGAATTTTATCCATATATCATTAATTTTCTATTCATCCAAACCCAAGTTATAGACATGACAAAGTATGTTATTAATCTGAGGTCAACACTGAGGGTCCAAAGCTATTTCCAAGGCAATAAAACCAAAGGCCTCCTATGAGCAATAAAAAGACTCTTACAGATAATCAATAAAAAGCCAATTTTGGCAAAAATTTGAATAAACATTTCTTCAAATATGCATGAAAATGTCCAATAAGCACATGAAAAGATACTCAACATTCTTAATCATTTGGGAAATGTGTGTCAAAACTAGACAGCACTTCACACCCACATGAGGAACATAATTTTAAAACAAACAGGGAGAAAATAAGAAGTGCTAGTGAAAATGATAAAAGTGAGAACCCTCATACATTGCTGTTGGGAATGCAAAATGGTGCAACCCACCGTGGAATCAAACTCAGCGTACCTAACTCAGAGAACTGAGAATACAAATTCATACAAAACATCTGTACACAAACACAGCATACAGTAACTACCTATCTAAATAAACACACATGTGTTGACAGTGCAGCACTACAATGGACTGCAGAGTAGGCAGCAGAGAACAGAACAGACACCTTCCCCACCTTGCCCTCAAGAAGCCTACACTCCAGCAAGGGAGAGAGACTGATGCAGTTTCAGACTACCAGATAGTGTAATAAACAAATGAAGACTGAGGGGGTATGCCACACTGAGCTACAGGAAGTTGGGACTGACAGGAGGCTTGGCAATTTCAAACAGGGTGGCCAGAGAGGGCTTATTTGAAAAAATGATATTTTGGGATGTAGCTCAGTGGGGCCATGCCTGCCTAGCCAGTGCAAGGTACTGAGTACAATCAACTGGAACCACGGGAAAAAAAAAATTGAACCCAGACCCAAAGGAGGCAACCAAGTGAGCCAAGTGGATAGATAATGCGGGGGAAAGGGGTGTTCCAGAAAAAATACAAAGCCCCAAGACAGAAGCAATGCTTCAGGAATCAGCAAGGAGTATGGATCATTTACTTTTCAGACTTCAGGAACTGCAATAGCTGTTAGTTTGAAATGTTCCACTAAACTCCAGTGCTTGGAGGGCAGAAATCAGGATTATCCTGACGTGTTCAGTGATAAAACTGAGTGAGCTACAGTATTCTTACATTCTGACAGCACTGCTCTGAGATGTCGTGAGAAAGACACTAAGCCCACTCTATCAGAAATCTCGACCCTGTGAAGTCCTCCTCCTTCACAGTTCACTGTCTAAGGGCAGTCAGTTCCCAACAAATCCGTCAGTAAGTAACTGCTCATATAATCAGCGACCTCCAGCTGGTCCTGGCTGCAGCCCTTCCTCCAAACAGCTCTTTCAAATAAAAATGGCAATGCACCTTCATTCCCCAAAATATTAGAAAATTTAAAAACTCAACCCAATTTTATGTGTGGCCTGTATGTTTACAATAATTAAGCCAATCATTATGTATTTCTATTGAAATTTAAAGCTTCAATCTTTATAATAATTGGTGCTGGGGCAAATTGAGCTCAGTGGTGCCGCCTGCCTAGGGAGCACAAAGTCCTGAGTTCCACCCCCAGAACCCCTCTCAAAAAACCAAACAAGCAAAAAAATTTCAAGCAAATTTTTATAACTGGAGAACTATTCTGAATCATGAAATTCAAAGGTTAGTATTGAGACCTAACAATGGATTCGGATGTGCGCCTATCACTCTCATTCAGATGTTTCCAGAAATTCCAACAGCTTGCACACTCGATTTTCCTTTGGAAGTTCAATTACACGTGGTATTCTTCACTTTCCATTGAGAGGTCTGCTGCCCAGTGCCCACAGGTGCTGGGTCCCACAGGATCACAGAGAGAGGTGGCTTTGTATTTCAGGCTGTGCAGTTTTCATTAACACACACAATGAGGATACAGGGGTGCTGACTGCCTGCAGTACAAAGGGTACATTTTCTTGTAGTGATGGAATCTTGAAATTTGTCAATTTATTTACAGAATTACTCTAATGATACTTTTATCAAATAAAACATCTTAAGCACTTATGTATTAGAGCAGCAGACAGGATCTGGAAGGAAAATAAATCCCAGATTTCAGTGGTATCATTTTGTGACCCTGAGTATTATGTTTAACGTGGGCTTCAGTGTCATTTTGTAAAATAAGAATAGTATTCTCAAATGAAATTATGTCAAAGTGCAAAATAAACGGTGGCAGTTGTTAAGCACAGAGAAATGACCTGGAGCAAAGTTGTTTTCAAACTTTTTGAAAATACAGGCAACTGAAAGCCAGTACAGTGGGGTAAAGAACATTTACACATCTACATTAATGCTCTGATAAAAACAAATCACTACTGTGGGAGGAAATAAGGAGTCTTGATTTTCCAAGTACCAATTCTGTATTCTTTCCAGATGTCACGAGGTGGGGGGCAGATTTTACCCACACATGGTTTCAAACTGGGAGAGAAACCTCAAACAGTATCTTGCTTTAAACCAAGAAGTAATTAATGGCAACAGTTTGCAAACAATATCATTTTCCTAGGCAGTTCTTGTGTCTAGTAATAGGACAAGAAACTGGGCAAGATTTTTATATGTACCTCAATCCTGTCTTTAAATTTAAAATAAAACCTTAAAGTTTTTAAGGGGAAGCCAGAGAAATCAGACTTAGGTGGATAAAGGAAACTGGTACACATACCATGCGGCTACACACTGTACACAGGAAAAAGAGAAGGAACCTCTCCAGGAGGGAGTGGGGGCTCCTGCACTTGGTCTATTAATTCACACTTTGCTCTCTTCGGTTCACATCCTGCGCGGACTCCACCCAGAGCAACCGAGCGAGGGGGTGGGTGGGACCCAGCCTAGCAAATAACAGTTCCAGAAACCGAAACGAAATCGAGGAGGAATTGTGAAAATACGCTCACCAGAAAGGGGTGGAGAAGGAGCGAGAGGGTAGCCTTCTTCTGGCAGGCAAAGCATCCCCGGGCCTCGCAGCCTTCCTGGGAAGCCCCCTCCCCTGAACTGCATCCAGTTCCCTCCTCTCCTTTACTCGGTGGGAGAAGACCCTAGAGTGAGGCCAACTCACTCCTGGGGCGTGGGTGGGAAACACTCAAGTATTCTCAGAGATTCTAAGAGATATAGGGTGGCAAACTGGGAGAGGCGGAGGGAAGGAGGAAAGAAAACGGACTGCGGAGGAGGGCACCAGGAGACTTGAGGAACGCTCAGCAGAGGGGCCACCTGTTGAATGGATCTTCCCAGTCCTGCTCCGGCCATCCCGCGTCTCCAGCCCGGCGCGGGGCCGGGACCCCACCCCGAGGACTCGCGACGGAGGGAGGCCGGACTGTCACTCACATCTGATACTCGTCTATCGCCTCCACCAGCTGGCCCCAAGAGTCGAAGTCGGCGCCTC